CCTTGACTCCTTGGCATGGCGGAGGAGCGTGGGGGGGATATATTTGCGTGCCCTTTCCTTGCTCTGGTGAGCATCAGCGCTTATTCTTAGCACAAACTCGCTCTATTTATAGACCCCAAGGTAATTTTTCCTCATTAGTAAGGCCACAAACTCTGTTCGGGCCTTGCGGGGGATCTCCTACGTGGGGGGTGTGTGATGAGAGGGAGGAAAACATGGTCCTCGCCTCCTCCAGGAAAGATCTGCTGAGGCTGCTCTTCCAGCAGCTCTGTGACTCCTCGTGTAGGAAAAACTTTTCTATGTTGACACATGCCTAAAATATAAGCCTCAAAAATCCTTTGAGAATCCCTTTTGTTGGAAGAATTTTCTAAACACTGAGGCTTAACAGGCACAGGCCCTCCCTAATTGACATGTATCTATTATCCAAACGACTTGTTAGTAGACCCACGCACTGGGGAGGTGAGGGGGACCCTAGAGTCTGGGGGGGGTGAGGGGAGGGCAGAGGGACATGGTGGTGGTTTGGCAGAGGGATGTTGTCCTGGTTTCAGCTGGGATAGAGTTAATTGTCTTCCTAGTAGCTGGTATAGTGCTATGTTTTTGAGCTAGGTATGAGAAGAATGTTGATAACACACTGATGTTTTCAGTTGTTGCTAAGTAATGTTTAGACGAAGTCAAGGATTTTTCAGCTTCTCGTTCCCAGCCAGCAAGAAGGCTGGAGGGGCACAAGAAGTTGGGAGGGGACACAGCCAGGACAGCTGACCCAAACTGGCCAAAGGGATATTCCATACCATGTGACGTCATGCCCAATATGTAAACTGGGAGGGGTGGGGAGATGGGTGCTTGGGGACTAACTGGGTGTCAGTTGGTGGGTGGTGAGCAATTGCACTGTGCATCATTTGTATATTCCAATTCTTTTATTATTACTGTTGTCATTTTATTAGTGTTATCATTATCATTATTAGTTTCTTCTTTTCTGTTCTATTAAACCGTTCTTATCTCAACCCACGAGTTTTACTTCTTTTCCTGATTTTCTCCCCCATCTCACTGGTTGGGGGGGGAGTGAGTGAGCGGCTGTGTGGTGCTTAGTTGCTGGCTGGGGTTAAACCATGACAGATGTGCAGTGACTCAACAGCGAAGCTGGGGCTGCCTCGGAGCCTCCTTGTTGCTGCTCTGAAGAAGAGCAACAAAGCTGGTGAAGGGTGTAGAGAACAAGTTCTGTGAGGAAGGCTGAGGGAACTGGGGTTGTTTAGCCTGGAGAAAAGGAGGCTGAGGGGAGACTTATCGCTCTGTACAACTACCTGAAAGGAGGTTGTATGGAGGTGTGGGTCAGTCTCTTCTCCCAAGTAACGAATGATAGGACAAGAGGAAATGGCCTCAAGTTGCATCAGGGGAGGTTTGGATTGGTTATTAGGAAAAAATGCTTCACTGAAAGGGTTGTCAGGCATTGGAACAGGCTGCCCAGGGAAGTGGTAGAGTCACCATCCAGGGAGATATTTAAAAGCCGTGTGGATGTGGCACTTAGGGACACATGGTAGACTTGGCAGCGCTAGGGTAACGGTTGGTCCCGGTGATCTTGAAAGATTCTGTGCTTTGTGTTTGTTGCTGGTGGTGGCTCTGCTGGGCTATGTGCACAAGCAGACCCTCAGGGACTGCTCTGAAAAGATATCTGGAAATAAAATTAGGAGTTTTAAAAAATTAGGCTCCAAACCCAATAATTCAAGCATCTGTTTTGGCACATAAAAAAGATCGTAAAGGGGCAAAAGGTGGCTGACAGCACTAGTGCAGTGTGTTAAGGGTCTGTTGGTAAGTCTGTGGTTTAGACCTGCATTGAGCTGTCCTGCGAAATCGCTTTTGTTACTGACTTTCATGAGGATTGAGGGAGATATTTGCTTTAAGTTTTTCCTTCCAGCACTCATTATCTGAAATATGGCCTGTGCGAGTCTGCATGGAGCGATAGTCCTCACTGCAGCGTGAGGAAAACCAATACTGTGATGCTGTCAAACTCCTGTGGGACTGCTGATTAACAGATGCCGTCTTCTTCTCTTTAGGTCTCATAAATGATCATAAAAACACACATGGGGACGCGCCGCGACCGCTGCCATCCGCACCACCGAGGTGGAACAACCCCCGCCAGCCCGCCTTCAGCAGGAGGGGGACGTTTTCAACCAGATATCCCCAGCAGGCTCCCAGGGATTTCCAGCCGCACCAGGGTCATTCCTGGAGGAAAAAATATTCCCTCGTCAACCGGCCGCCGGGATCGGTGTGTGATGTTGGAAGCAGTGGAAGTGCCAGCACGTCTCAGGCTTTTGAAAGCCATGGGGAGAGCCAGGCCCCTGAGCCACCAGAATTGTCCCCAGAGAGACATGTGGACTTAACCACAGATGGTAATATAGTTGTGGGGATCCAGCTGCCAGAGAGGGCTGGCCCATTTGTAGATATGAAAGGTTTTGCTGATGTGGGTTCTTACTGTGAGTTTTCTGGGCTCAAAACGGTGGTCACTGCTCCTGGTGACAGTAAAAATGTGCAGAAATCACTGTACGCAAGCCGAAATGAAGAGAGAAGACCCTCTCTCTCCGTTTCATTTAGTTCATCTCACCGGTTTGTGAGTTCAGCATACGTGAGCGTGTCAGATAAGCCTAGAATGGTGCATCTGGCCGGTGATGTGGCCAGGAGCTCCCCTTCCTCCTGCGGAAGCACCAGTGAAAGTGCTGTGACGCTGAAATCGGAGCCACAGCAGCCTTCGGTGTTGCCAGATCATGAGCTGGCTCGGCACTTGGTACGGAGGAAGGCAGAACCGCCAGCTCCAGGGCAGTCTAGTTGTGAGCAAGTCAGGGATGCTTTCGGAGAGCCGAAGCTTCTTGGAAATGGTGAGACATGCTCTAGACCTGCGCAGGCTGCGACTTTGGTGGTCGGGATGACCAGTCCAGCAAAGAGCGGGTTTTCTGTAGTTCCCAAAGCTGCCGGTCTCCAAAGAGCTGCCTCAACATCCACCTCCAGCAAAGCTCCGAAGTTCAGGAAAACTAACTACACGTGGGTTGCAAACCCTGGTAAATGCTCTCGTCCTGTGAAGAGATGGGTGAGCCCTAGAGCTTCTGAAAGTGCCAAGAAGGTTGCTGGTGGGGCGGACAGAGGTGCTAAACTATCCCCAAAAGCAGACTTGGGAGCAAAGCTGAAGAAATCAGGATTGCAGCCCAAACTGGGTGTTTCTCCCAGCAAGTATAAGTGGAAAGCCTCCAGCCTGCAGACCTTGCCTTCCACCTCCAAGTCAGCATTCAGGTGGCAATCTGAGGATCAGAAAAAGCCTCCAACCCCCAACCTCCCTCGAGCCAACACCGCCCCACCGACTCTGAGTGCTGTGTCTGTTGGTCTCAGTGGGGTGAAGTCCTCCTTTGTTGATGCCGCGCTGTCCAGTTATAAAGTGAAGAGTCGGACAAAAATCATCAAGAGAAAAGGAAGCTCGGGGTAAGTTGCTGGTCATCTTTGGAGTGGTGTCATTGCACTGGTTGTATTTTGTGTCCATTGGCTTCACATAAGTTGTGGCTATAAGTGAAATTCCAACAAGGGCTGTTGTATACTGGAGGGTATATTTGCTTTTCTCTTTCCAAGTGTGGTGACTTTGTTCTGTCTGGAGGCATCCCGCTTTCCAGGGTTCGAAGGCCTTGGGTTTTAATTGTCTGTGTAACTCTGACTTTAACCTTTGAAACAGAGCTGGGTTTTCTTCTCATCTCCTATCCCTGTTCTCCAAAGACTTTGCTGCAGCATGTAGGAGACTCCTCCCTGACCTGAATAACAGACTAATATTCAAAGGGAAGGAAATAGCTGTCTTGATTTATTTTCAGACTCCCATAACCTTGTTGCATTGGGGGCTGGGCAGAGGAGGAAAAGCGGCTTGAATTGCCGTATTGTGTGTGGTCTGTCCCTGTAAAGCATTGTGCAGACCCTGGGATGGAGCAGGGATGGGAGGTGAGCTCTGCATGCTGGTAAGAAGTGCTGTCCGTGATGCTCTGCTGGTACTTCCCTCCCTTGGGTGCCATCCTTTTGTGCCATCCACCGTTGTAGCCCAAAGCATCCTCCCTGAAGGCTCTTGCTCTTCCTTCTCCTTGTCAAGTCGCTGACAGATCTGTGGCTGTTGTAGCTACCTTGGGAGAACGTGCCGTGCCAGACCAGCAGATAATCCTGGGGTCTTGTGGAGCAAGTTCTCCCCCTGGCTATGTGTGACAGACAGGGACAGAGTACAATGGGAAGGTTATAAATGAAGCTTGGTGGAAGGAAAAGGCGTGTGGGCTGAGTTATCTGCAAAAGGGGTTTGCACTGGGCTGGGAGTTGAGGGGAAACAGATAAGAGATTGGGACCAAACTCTCTGAAATCCGGTGTGTCGTGGAAGTGCTGCGAGGGCTTTGTTACGTTGTGCTCTCCGTGGGAAAGCTGTGTTTTGTGCTGCTCTTCTCGGCAGGGCTGGATGCAAGCCCAGCCTGTGCTGCAGGGAAGGGATAAGTGGGATGGGGTGAGGGTTGGTGGCACAGCTGCCTGACCTCTACTCTACCACTGAACTCGGAGATACCCTCAGTGTAGCGGACACGTGGTTTGGCTCCTTCCTTGCTGCAGTAACGCCAAGCCTTGAGTTCTTGAAAATTGAGGACTGTGGCCTAAATAACTAGTTTAAGTGACACAATGAGCTGGTAACATGGTACTGACTGAGAATCTGGTGCCTCGATTACTGCTTCTGTTTCCCAGATCCTCTGCTCACTGCTTCACCACAGTTTTCCATCCTTGCTTTGCCCTCCTGTTTTGCTGGGGAATGTGTCTGTGGGTGGATTGTGCTGGGAGGATCACTCTGGAGCAAGGTGTCTGCAGAAGCTGGGATTGTTTTGGATTTTTTGGCAGTCAGGGAGATGAGACCCCCCCTCATCTCACTAAAGGCCAGTAGGAGTAGGGAAGTGATTGTCCCCCTGTACTTGGCACTGGTGAGGCTGCACCTTGAATCCTGTGTTCAGTTTTGGGCCCCTCACTACAAGAAAGATACTGAGGTGCTGGAGCGTGTCCAGAGAAGAGCAACAAAGCTGGTAAAGGGTCTAGAGAACAAGTCCTGTGTGGAGTGGCTGAGGGAACTGGGGTTGTTTAGCCTGGAGAAAAGGAGGCTGAGAGGAGACCTTATTGTTCTCTACAACTATCTGAAAGGAGGTTGTAGTGAAGTGGGGGTCAGTCTCTTCTTGCAAGTAACAAGTGATAGGATGAGAGGAAATGGCCTCAAGTTGCAGCAGGGAAGGTTTAGGTTGGATATTCGGAACAATTTCTTCACTGAAAGGGTTGTCAAGCACTGGAACAGGCTGCCCAGGGAAGTGGTGGAGTCACCATCCCGGGAGGTATTTAAAAGCCATGTGGATGTGGTGCTTAGGGACATGGTTTAGTGGTGGACTTGGCAGTGCTAGGTTAATGGTTGGTCTCAATGATCTTAAAGGTCTTTTCCAACCTAAACTACTCTATGATTTTATGATTCTGTCCTCTCCCACGCATCTGTTGAGCAGAAAGCAGAAGGGAATGAATTGAGTTAGGCTGTCAAATACCTCATTCTCCATCTGTGCTTTGCCAGAAATTCATCACACTTGCTTATTTACTTGTAATTTTCTGTTCAGTGCTTCTTGTCACCCTTGGGTTACAGGAGCAGTGTGGAGCTCAGTGACCTAGCTTCTCTTCTCAGCTCTGAGCAAGGGGACCAAGTGCATTTCGGTCACCTCTCTACTCTTCTAATTGTGTGGTGTTCCCCTTCACAGTTCCCCGACAGATAAGAAGAACAGCTCCTCGCCCACCATGCCTCTGAAAAGCCACTTCCATCTCAGGAAGAAAAACTCCTCGCGAGGGAAACCTTCTGCGACGCTGAAACGCTCCTCGTCCAAGGGCCTGGTGCAGATCACCAAGCACAGGCTCTGCAGGCTGCCGGCCACCAGGATGCAGGTCTCCACCAAGGAAGGTAGGAACAGCCGTTCCAAGGGGTGATGGTGCTCTCTGACTGGGTGCCAGTGAAGCGGTTCCAAGGGAGGGTCTTGGATTTGGAAATGGGTTACCGGGTCCTCCAGGAGATGAATCTGCTGTTGTTGGTCATGGAGCAAATGTTGAGGAGAAGAAGTTTGGCTGGAGTAAGACATCTGTCTTACCTCAGAGCTCTCTTGTGCATTGACATCTCCAGACAAGGCCATTTTAAAGCTGCTTCTTGCTTTTAATGTGGTTTTGCTGGACTTGCAGGCATTGAATAGGAAGGTGCTCAAGGAGGGAAGAGGGTGGCAGAGGCAGTAACACATCCGTAAGACTAATTTCCCTTTTTGCACTGGGCAAAAGCTTGTGCATGTCATGAGATACTCCTCTAGCAACTACAGACCTACCTAATGCACCTGTATCCCAGTGCCACGTCTGCGGGCTTCTAGGTTTTGTGTGTAATTTGCTTAAAATAACAATAATTAAAGGAATACCGGGTCCATTGTGCTTGTGAACAGGTATTTTGCATCCATGTCCTGCTGCCTTGGGTTGGCAATGGTCAGAGCAGAAATCAGCTGCTTGGGGCCTGGAGAGCTGCACCTATGTGTGTGTGAAATGGTGGTGTTTCTGGCTCAAAGTCTGGCTCTGCTATTCAGTGGTGATGTGATCACGGACGAGTGGCTTCACTCCCTTGAGATTCAGTTTTCTCAAATGTATATGAAGTATGTTTTGCTTGCGTGCCTGCGCTGTGCTCGTTCATGTATGGCAGGGTGGCCAGTGACACTGTGGGTAGGCATTGCTTGAGTGAGGAAGGCTATTTGGGCCATGACGTAGCTGTGATCTGCCTCCAAAAGTAAAGCTGTTGAGCCTCTGTTTTCAGGAAGACAATTCTGTGGTTTCCTGCTCTGCACTTCAACTAGTGAGTTTGCATGTGTGATTATAGGGGTTTTTTTTGTCTTCAGACAAACAGCTGTGTTGAGATCTTGCTGTGTTTTGATGGATGAAAAGACAAGAATGGGGGCTTGTGGTTCAGGAAAGGGAAAACCTTTTTGTGGCAGGAGAAGAAAAAGATTTTCCTGTTCGTGTGTGTTTGAAGAGGGGTTTGGAGGGATAAGGGGGACACTGGGAGGAGAATTTTGGATCTGGCGCTTTAGGCAGTGGGCAGTGACTCATGGGAGAGGCAGGGGCAGGGAGAATAAGATGTGCATTTGTGCAGTTGCATTGATAGTCCAGCATTCAAGCAGTTGCCTGGCTTTGGGGCTGTCTTGCTCCATTTAAGGATGTCAGCAAACCCTTTGGTGTCTGGAGAGGCATGAAGGCTGCACCTCCAGACACTGTGGTGGAAGTTTTCATGCAGTGCATGAAGGCAGCACGTGCGGTTGGAGGTCTTGGTCATACTTGCAATGTCGTTGCTCTTCTGTGATCTGTGAAACCAGAGGTGGTGAATATAGCACGTGGCCAGATCCAGCTGTGATGGTAATGTGGGGGCAACAAGGCTTTTCTTCCTTGGATGATGGTGATGTGTGGGATGGGGAATGCAGCCCTTCAGCTTCCCAAGAACTGTCTATTCTGGGGTGAATTTAGGACTCGGACCTCACAAACTGCTTGGTGGGGACCTTCCTCCAGTGTGGCATGTCCAGTATGAGACATTGAATAAATCTTTTTGCTGCAAAGCACAGTAAGTTCTTTAAAAAGGAGCTTGCTGAGAGCCTGATATGAGCAGCTCGGCTGTAGGCTCTGGAGATACAGAGTGATTTGAGGTTGCCCCCCGGGAACCTGACTGGCAGCTGCCAAAAGCCTGTGTCTTTTGGGAATGTATTCTGAATCCTAGTTCCTTGATTGAAGGTAATGTTCCCATACTGAAAAGTTTCTTGATCTTAAACTGCATAGGGCTGAAAATATGTAGATAGAGCAGAAATATGGTTGTGCTCCTGGGTTTGTTCAAAATAAAGTTGGCAAATAAAGAAGTTTAGAGAAAGTAGGAAAAAAATGGAATATAGATCTGAAAGTGACTTTGGGAGAGCATGTAGCTCATCCCCTGTCCAAAAGCGGATCAAATTATCAAACCATTCCTGATAGACGCTAGCCAAGCCTAGCACAGACAAAACCGTGGTTTATAAAAGTTGTGAGTTGTCTGCATTGAAGTGACTTAATGTTATTTTCAGCTTGAACCTGTGCACTTTTCAGTCTTAGCTCAGAGATGTGGAAACTAGTACCTGCTTTAATAAAACTTGGTGGCCATGCCTTGTGGTTCTTTTTCTTTGCAAACTGCAGTACCTACTGTAAAAATGTGTCTTGATTTGTTTCTTAAAATGACTAAAAGCAAAAGGAAATGTCCTGCCTGCCTTTTCCTGTGTGTGTTTGTGCATGCACACATGTGAGACTACTCTTCCTCACTTCATAAATGCCACAAATCCTTTTTTTCCCCGTGCCTCGCTGTGCTAGTGGGAGCACGGACACTGATGCCTTAGACGGTGAATTAAAAATGCTTCCCCACCATAATTATGAAATGGCTTCTAAACTTCTTTCTTGCTTTCTGCAGTGGAGAGGAATTACACTCCGGTAGATGAGCCATTATTTGGTCTGGAAAATGGACTGGCAAGTGGCACTGGGATCTGTTCACTTGACGCTCTGGAAGGACTCCTCAGGCTGCCTTTCTCCTCCCCAGGGAGGAGGGTACAAGGTTGTTTCTGCTGTGTTTGCTGCTGCTTTGTCCAGCCTCTCTGCAGAGCTGAATTAAATACATCTTTCTGCTAGGAGGACTTTGTGCAGTTGAGATCTCTTGCTGGGTATGTTTTCTGTTGGCATGGTGACTGTGAGAACTTGGCTGCGTGTCCTCTTCCTGGAGAGGTTCTCTAAGATGCGATGCAACGATGTAAGTTTGAGAGTTCTTGTCACCTTTTCTCTACTGCACTTAGAGGCTTTCCCCTCGCTGCTGGAACATCAAGTGCTAAATGCTCATATCATACGGGTAGGTGGTTGCTGGTAATCTAACCTCTGTTGTACCATCGTCTCAGGGGATCCCAAAGGACTTGATTTGCTCTTTCCTGTGCCATTGGCAGCTCTGTGAGGCAGCTGCTGAGTGATGCACGGCTGCTTTGCTTCTCCAGTTAGCAGAGACATTCAGCAAGAGTCTTGACTGCTTTGAAATTGCCAAATGAATTTTGGCAGGGTTGGTGCTGCTTGCTGGGCATCCGGTTATGGCTGAGGAGCAGCAAGGTGCTGGCCCCGCACAATCCTGTTCTTACCTTCCTCTTGGCAGCAGCAGCCTTGCCTGTAGCATGGAGGCTGAGCGACTAAGTCCAGCAGACCTTGACCCTTCATGCTTACCTTCGTAATTAGCCTGTGCATTTGGTTCCTTTGATTAGAATCGAGTTTATAGGTTTGAATCCTTTATACCTTAAGGCTTTTCTTTGAGAAGGTTCAATCCTAGGCAGTGTATTTGCAGCTTAATGTGTTGAACTGTTCTTATGCTCTGGGTTTGTACAGCTGTTGAATTATTGCTGGAGTGTTCCTACATGTGCTAGGACTCTTTGCCCAGGGAGACATGTATGGTCTAGTACAAAAATACTGTTAGATGCTGGGCAGGGACGTTTTCAAGGCAGCATCCCAAAGTCTGATGAGAGAGCCTAGCCACTGATAGGGCTTGGAGTAACTCAGACTTCAGTCATGTTTGGTGCCTCTAAACATATAATTATGTATATAGTGGTAGGTGTCTTGTGGTTTCACAGTGGTCCTATAGTGAGCTGGGAATAAGTGAAGGCTTGTGGGTTCAATTCCTGGCTCTCAGGTTATCTGAGAGGTTTTGGGAGAGTTGTATTTATTTCTCTTTGCTTGTGCAAAGTGGGGGTATTAATTGGGTGGTAGAGTTTTAAGTCTTGCCATTTCCTGCAAGACAAGTGCGACAGGAGTAAAATGGGGTACAGTGATGTTACTAGGAGCCTCTGAGAGCAGAGTGGGGCACGAATGGAGCAGTGACACTGATGTTAAAGTCCCTGGCTTGATGCTGAAGCAACACCCCTTGCCTTTCTTGCTGGAAGCAGACTGGTGGCAGTCCTGGGCCAGCTGATTATTTTGTTGTCTTGAGTCTGGACATGCACAGCCCAGCTAACAAACTGATTAAAAAGCTGGATAATTCATGCCAGGCTCATGATCCCACTGGATGGATGTGGTCACGCCGGAGCCTGGATCTGATGGGTGCTCATGCCCGTGTGATGAGTGAGCATCCAGATGCCTGCATTTCCATGGAGCTGTAAGATCCCAGGTCAGACACTGTGTGTGTGTGTGTGTCAAGGCTGAGGATGGAAGGACAGCTGGGGAGAAGCGTGCCCTACTTCATGCACTGCAATGTGGGTGCAAGAAGCTGGGTCGGTCCCTTTCTTCTCACTGATGCAGGTGGCCTTGTGACACAGCTTTGCTGTGTCTCTGCTAACTTTTCTCGTTTGTCCTGTTAAGCAGGCTTTTGGGATATATGGCATGAGCTCTGCGGTACATACCGAGGGTATTGGTCCTGCCTTTCCCAAGAGTGTAACGCCCTTTTTGGATCCAAATGGACCTGTTTGATCTCATGCAGTGGGGCAGCTCTCCCAGCCACTGCCAAGACTTGGTTTCAAACTGGTGTTTCCCGATGGTCTGTATTCAGAGGTGCTTGCCTCTGTGGGAATTGCTGTGTTTTCATTTAAGGTTCAGTAATTGCATTAGAGAGGAAATGGAAAGTGGCAGACTGGTAGCAGTTCTCTTGGGATTATTTGGGCTGCTCTCATGACAAGCATTATACCTGCAGCTGTTATCAATTAACTCCAAAATACTCATTTGATTAAGTGGAACATTTAATAACTGCTCAGAAATAAGGGTATGTCCCAAACTGAAGTAGTTCTGATGGGACAGTAGAGCAGTGAAACATTTCTAATGCAGTTAGTGGTCTGCTCATCCAGGTATTTTAACGCAGGGCTTGCGCTGGGGCAGAATGCATGTGTAGGAGGAGCTCAAGTGCTTGAC